CTTTACATCATTTCAGTCTAAATTCTGACCTATGTAAGAGACCAGAGTTATTAGTATTTTCTATTATTTCTACTCCTCAAACATTATGACTAGATTTCTCCAAAGCATTCTTCATTCCCACTTCTATCTTCCTCTTCATTTTGCAAGTAACATTTTCAGGCTGAAAGATAGAAAAACAGACACATAGAAATTGTTTTGACTGACAGTATTCACTGTAAAATATTCTTTTTTCCCGTGGAGGAGATATGAAGGTGAATCAGGAAATGGATGGCATTTTCAGATCACATGAATCAGTACCCAAGATTTCATCATTTTCACCAAATTTCTAACTACTTTTAGAGACTTTAAGTTAGATGGTCCTTATTTAGAACTAATATAATAACTTCATTAACTGCCTTATCTGTCAGAAACTTCAATGGAAAGAAAGCAGCAATTACTAAAAATCAGGTCACAGATATAAAAATGTAAGTGCACATTTATTTATATAGCCATTTTGATTATAAAAAGCCTTAATAATAGAAATACCATGAGAAATATTACTTTAGTATCTTTGATCATAAATGGTAAATATAAACTCATTAGAAGAGTGTATAGATCTCAAAAGTCATGTTTTAGATTCTCACCTAGCTTTTCCTAATTCATAGATATTATGGAGACCAGTCAGCCTAACCTTTAAATACAGAACATAATGTGAGATAGTAACTTAATGGAAAACAATGAAGTTTGTAACTACTGACATTTACTTCCCTATTATTTAAATGAAGAATTACAATGGTGTCTTTTGCTAAGACAATTAAAATGATACTCAGTCTGACCTTGCCTGTGTCTGCTACTGGGCCTACACAGCTACAGCCTTTCCTGACCTGCTTTTTAACAGTGTAGTTCCCTACCAGACTCATCTGAGGGTGAGGATGGCAAACTTAGGTCCTCTGGGTCACCTGCTTTCCTGGGAAGAAGATGTCATTACTATTTTTACACAAAACAGCATCACAAGTCCCTGGTATTTAAATATGGCAGATTCGTGATGATCCAGCCTTGCAAGATGATGTTGCTTAATGCAGGTGAGAATACTAAGGGCTTGGTTAATCAAACGCAGCAGGGCAAATAATTTCCTGAATCTCAGTGGGAAAGAAGAGAGAAACAGTAATGTAGATCTGATGATTATGTATTTCAACAATGTGAGGTAAGTCAGGTAAATTCAACACACCAGACTGCACAAACTCTCTGTTCTTAAACATTGATTCAGAAAAGGGGAAAGGGTGCTTGTTTGTATGCACTGTTCTCCTGCCTGATCTGCTCTAGAAAGACTATGGTCACCAGTAGGATTTCTCCTCAGTAATAAATAATGTGGTTAGAAAACACAAAAGTAGGCAATTAACTGTGAGAGTTCTGAGTTTTCCTCTGCCTGTTTCTCATGAATTAAACAAAAATTACTAATGTTTTAAATGGTCTGGAAAAAAACCAACATGCAGTGGTAATAAAGACTTTGAACTCTATGACCATGAAACAAGCAAAGTCCTATGATGGAAGCATAATTCAGGGTTCAGTTTTACTGAAGCTAACACCTTCTTCCTTTTCTATTATTTTTTTTTTCTTTTTAGCCCAACTTAAACTTTTAATTCACTGTATCTGACTTTGTTTTTCTAAATGGTGAAAGAGATGCTTACTATCTAAGGGGCTTTTGATGGGTAATGTGAAGACAGGCCTTCCCTTACACTCTGACTTTCCAACCTAAACAGATGGAAATCCACTCCCTTCCTTGCTTTCTAACATTCCTTATATCCTGCACCACAGGAACAAGCTGAAATCTGGCTTCCCACCAAACTGGCCAAAAGCCTGAAGGTGCTGTGCAGCTTTTCGTCTTCCAACTTCAGTACCTTTACTGCTTCCACCCCTTAGTATGCTGGGCTCTATTTTGTTGGAAGGAGAGATCAAAAATAACTAACAGTGAGAAATATAATGACAGGAAAATATGAGGCAGAGGAGGAGGACGACCTCCATCCTGGAAGAAAAGCTGGATGCGATGGTCTTCTGAGAGGCTTCTTTTTTTCCCCTTCCTTAAATCAAATAGCAGAGCTTCTCTTGCTGCTTTCTCCCTTACCCTTAGCATAATATTCCTAAATTATATTTGAATATCCTTATTTATTTTGGATATAGTAACACTCCGAGGCTTAGCCTAGGATTGAGACACCACTGTGCAACTTGTGAAGAAACAAAAAAACATCAGTGCCTACTTGCAAGGGTACATCTGGGGATTGCATCACTTAAAATTGCTGAGCTCGCTCACTCAACTTATCTAGTTTAAATCTATAACTCAGACATTGTGGACCTGGTTTTCTGAGTCTGAGAGAGTTTCCAGCCTGTCAGTGGCTGATCTGTTCCCAAGGGAAAGTCTCTTGAGAATATTTCTCTCTCAAAGACTATTTCTGTGAATAACTTATAGTTCTCTAAACAATATTGTACAGCTGTGATGAGTGTGTTTTCCCTTGTTCAACCAATGGGACAAGAGAGGTGTTGTTCCCTTTACCAATCATGTTAAACCTGTATTGTAAGAGCCTATAAAGGAGCTGAAAAGTTCTGAAATTAATCCTTCTGATGATCCTCTCTCTGCCTGTTGAATTGAATCCACACTCCTTATTTTGTGCCCAACAGCAACAAGACAGAGCACAGAGTTAGACGTAACATTAAAAATGTTACATTTTGTACCTTTATTTCAAACATGGTTAATCTCACAGGCCATGTCAGACATCTTTGCCCTTGAGCTTTTAAAAGAAAATTAAATTAAATTAAATTAAATTAAGCATTGACATCATAACTTGTCTTCCACGAAACTAGTACAGAACTATAAAGCACATGACTTAAATGCTCTGTGGGTGATATAGAGCCAATATGGTTCCAGTGGAATTTTTCTTAGAATGTACTGTATGTGATTAACACAGTATGATATAAGGAAATAAATGAGATGAGTTTGGAGGTTTTGTTTATTTTTTACTTATATGCCTGTTGTTTCATAGACAAACTGCGGAGGAATTTTTAGAGGCTAAACTGTAAATCATTCAAGGGGCTAGAATTTTGATAGTTTTTTTGCTGGCAGTTGGTTTGGGATACATGGTGCTTACTTTTCATAGATAGAGATGTAATATATTTTTTACAAGGCAGTTGAAAAAACGAATATATCTCCTCTCTAAAAAGGAAGTCTAAATGTATTGTAATAGGTGGAGGTACATAAAAAGTGCAGGACTTGTTGATCTGAAGAGATATGTCTTAATAACACTCCAAAGAAGTTAACAGTGTAGATAAGTGAATCTGCATTTACTGTGATGGCAACTTTTAGATGTAAAATTAATTCTTATATTTTCTGTACAAGTATTTCCTGGATCAGAAGGAAATCACATGAGAAAGTGACCCCAGGCATTACAGTAGCTACAGTAGTGGCTTCTCAAACTCTATTGTAATAAATAAGGAAACATCCTTGACTGTCAGGGTTACATGACTTTATGAAAAGGAAAAAAAAAATATTCGGCCTTTAGTATTTGATTATTTTTTTTTAGATACCAACAAATAATCAGAAAGAATGTTCCAAATTCCAGGACTTCATTTTAATGATAATTTCAAACTTTTGTTAATGTTTCTACTTGAAAAGTTTATTTTACATACTAGCCAAAGTAAAATTCTCCCTTGAGCTGGAAGTTTAAGGCAATTTGGATTTGCAACATTTGACTTGCTGATAAGTTTTGATGCTAGATGTTTTAATTAGCTAATTTTTATAGGATTACTCTAGCATGGATGAATTCCATAGTTTTGTTTGTTTTAATAAGCTTTTACTACTTTTAGTCTTCTAAATGTAGGTCTTGTTGTGAACAACAAAAGTCAGTTTCCCCTGCACTTTGTAGTAGAAATGCCAAAATGGTGTCATAAAAGAAAAAAAAAATAACCAGCTCTGATGAAATTAAATACAATGCACACATGAACAAAAATAACCTCCTGGTTTAATACATGTGAGTTGATAAAACACAAAGGCATGCACCAAAAACCCGATGAGCGCGAAAATGCGAACACACGTACCTGGGGTATGCCTGCGCGCCCCACCTGCAGCCCTGCAGTGCCACGTCTCACTGTCCAACGCACGCATTGTATTGGACTCTCCCAGGGCCTGGAAATGAACTTTCGGGGCTGACACGTCGATCGTGCCATGGGAGGAGGGAGAGGACTGAGGGGGGGGGGGGGGGGGGGGGGGGGGGGGGGGGGGGCGGAGAAGGAGTCGCCGGAGGCTCTTACGTGGCGGTCGACATGTCAGCACCGCGCTCCCTTGCGCAGCTGGTGCGGAGCTCCTGTTGCCTAGGCAGTTCCTCACCGGACCCGGGAGGTCCGGGGTCGGAACGCTGGGGATGGGGGCATGGCGTGAGAGGGGTACACTAGGCGGGCAGGCAGCTTAGGGGCTCCCGTGACGCTCCCGTGCCTCTTCCGTCCTGGGGTAGTCGCTGGCCGCCAGCTCTCCTTCGCCTCTTCTATCTGCTGCTTCCCAGTTTTGGTACATTCTCCCGGCCCCGGAGCCCCGGGCAACAGCCGGGAGCCTTTGCGGACCGCTGCCCGTGTCCCACCGCCTCCCCTCCCTCTTGCTGTCGCTTGCTACAGCTTGCCAGGATTTGTCGTGCTTAGTTGTACTGGCGCTGAGGGGCCCCTGCTCAGATTTGATGGTTAAGGAGCAGTCTCAAGTCATGTTTTTGTTAGCTGCGGTGATTAAGGAATAAAAGGAAATAAATAATTAAAAAAATCCAACCCCCAAGGACAAATATCTCAACCAGCTGCAACTTCTCAACTAGCCCGGAGGGGGGAGCGCGGGGGAGGGCAGGGAGTAATGCGAGATCGCCCGAGCCCCGGGCAGCGCCAGCTGCGGCACGAGCCGAACTGCACACCTCATTGCCGGGGCCGGGCGGCCGTGGCTGCTCCGCCCCCGCGGTTGGGAGCTGGGTCCGGTCGCTGGGCGAGGCGCTCAGCTGCCGCGCCGCAAACTTGGTGGGAGCGAGCGGAGCACGGGCGGCTCAGCGAGGCTGCGGCCATGGCGGCGTAGGGCGGGCATCAAGCGCGGCGGAGGATCCCGCGTCCGCCTGCGTGCAGCGAACAGCCCACGGCGACTCCAGGTAACCCCTGCCGGCCTCTCTCCCCTCCTTGCCGGACTCGGGCTGTGGGCGGGCGGTAGTGCTTTCGGAGCTCCAAGGGAATTGTACGTTTCCGGCCGCCCTGTCCGTGACCGCCTCGCTGGGCTTCGCGGGACTGCGCCCCAGTGTCCGCCGGGCGTGACCGGGGGGCTCGGAGGCTGGGCGGGCTGGGGTCCGGGCGGGAGCAGCCCAGGCTGCCGGCAGGGGGAGCCAGCAGCGAGGCGGAGCGCCGCTGGGCTCCGGTGCCGAGGAGCGCTGCCAGCGCTCAGAGCCCGTCTCGGGCATTGCCAGGTCCTACCCCCAAAAGTCCACCGAGCCTTTCAGAACGGGTGGCCAATCTCCCCGAGGACGGTGCTCTTTGCTTGGTACCAGAAAAAACAGACAGACATGGGGCTGCAACCCGGACAGCGGGTGTTCCGTGCAGGTCCCTTGCACCTGCGGGAGCGCGTTCTCGCCCGGAAGAGTGTTGCTGTCTCTGACTCCCGGCTGCGGAGAGGCAGCTGCTGGCTCCGGAACGTTTCGGAGGGTTTTGTAACGCTTCAGCAAGCGAAGTTTGCTCAGGCTTATCTTCTGGTTAGAGTAGAAGAGGCGTGAAAGGCACTGGCAGTTGTCGGAGACACATAGGTTTTCCGTGGCATGTTCGCATAGTACGATTTGAAACCCCCATGTGCTTTTATTCTCGCTGTTTGATTTAACTGGACTGTCTTCGGTCTGTGGCGTGACTGTATTTCGGCACTTTCTGCATTGGGGAGTTAGTTTGCCGTTCTGCCAACGATGCAGATGGAAACACCTCAGTCAGTTGTATACATCCATCGATCTGTGAGAATTACTTACCAGATAAATGATAACTATTAGGGTATCTATTTAGGTATCATTTCAGATGCTGACTGTGCATTGTAGATTGATGCAACGATAATCTACCCAGGATTATTCTTGGGGGACAGCTGGAGTAGGGGGAGCTGTCAGTGCATCTGCTCCTTCAGCAAACCAGACTATTGGCAGGAGAGATCTGTGTATGCAGGCACATCCAGCCTTCTGAAGATGGTTAGAATTTGAAAGATTACAGCTGTAAGAAACATCCTAAGACTAAAACATGTTGTTAAAGTTATAGTAATAGCATGTTCCAGGAACCCTAAAGTAGTGCATCTGAAGGTTTTACTTTCTGAAGGCTGACTAACTACTCTTGGTTTGAATTTTCATGTCAAAACCTGATGTGATGCTAGTCCAGCTAGAGTGATGTAAAGTAGATTTATTTTCACAGTGGAAATTACACTCAAATCTTACTTCTAGGAGTTTGAACATCTCCTGGTTGTTATATGATGCTGACTCAGTTCAGTTAAGTTTGACTTAGAATTGCTGAACTTGCTATTGTCATATATATAACACATAATCAGTCAAAAGTGTATTGCTTCCTTGAAAGGCTGAGGTATGGCCTCATGGTAATTTGCTTAGTGTAGTGAAAGATGTTGGTAGATTTCTGGATTTTGTGCTGATTTTCCACCTTTCTCTCCAGCAGGTACCAATAACGTAACTTTATTACATTTACTAATAAATTCATCTAATTTTCTCATTTTAATGCTGAACAGCTGTAAGGAGTCGGGCTGAGAGCTAAGGTTTTGCTCTGGAATGTGGCAGTTTACTTCTCTGTTTGAGAAGTTGTTTTGAACTAAATAGTGTGAACACTGGCTTCTGAGTTGTGCTGTTTATTCCTTGGGATGTTGTAACAGATTCGTTTTGGTTGATGAAGCTGAAGGCGTTCATATCTGAAGTGTCTCATTTCTTTTAATCTTTAACTAGTTTTCATAAAATACTTACAAGCAGTAGGAGTGCCTGTGCACTTTGTAATGATCCATAAACATGGTTGTAGCAGGTTAGTTGTACTTACTTCCTGCTGGGCAGAGATGCAGAAGGTAGTAACTGTATAACTGCTGTTTTCAGAATAAAGAGTTGTGAGGTTGTTTGTTTTTCACTCTTTTTCCCCAGCTACTTAGGGAAACCACGTGCATGGATTCTGACTTCTCTTGATACAGTCTTGTACAAATACAGGATTTTCAATGAATGAAGTTCATTACTTTTCAGGGAGTAGCTGTACACTACAATCTATGAACTGCAGAAATACAACACAATTCTCCTGCAAATTTTGGCTTTTGTGAGTTGCATGCAGGAATTCAGCCAAGGGAGCAGCTGAACTCCTGGGATTAGCAGCAGCAGAGACCCATTTCTGCTCTCTGGTCTGCAACAGCTTTATCAGCAGAGTTGGCAGGGTCTGATTTCTGTGCTGTGGGACACTAAGTGGATTGCTGATACTATCAGTTGATAGTAGGTGTGTACTACCAGTACTGTCTTTTGAAAGTGGGGAGGAGGGTGTGTGAAATCTGATACTCTGCTACTTCATGTGAAGCAGTATCTAGTAATTGCTTATTATATTGTGATGCTGGACTTCTGAATAGCAGTGAAATACGATTTAGCTTTAGATTTAACATCTGGTTTATAACATTTTGATATGCTCTTGATGTTTGGTAATGTATGTTCTGAAGTTACTATGGCTCCTGAGATGAACTGCTATTGCTATGGCCATAATTATAGCAAGCAGCACTGAAGAGATTCTCCTTTTCTGTAACATCATTTTATGGAAATGTTTAATGCGTATTCTTGTCAATGCAGAGTCCTCCAAATTATTGTTATCATTGTGTTTCTCTTTATTACATCCTCTTATCCTCTCTGGTATGTGTACGCATTTTGACTTGGAATCAGTGTTAAATTACAGCCTATATGCTTGTTCTTTCCTAATGTGTTTTGCAAAATTGTAGATGCTTCAAAAGAATGAGTTCTTGGGCTCTTTAGTTTTGTTATTTTGTTCTGTTTTTGTCAAACACTATAAGCATTTTTTCAAACTGACCCTTTTGAGATATGTTTGCCAACTATTGGCAGTAGGCTGAATTTAATGTCCAGGTTTCAGTATTGCAGCTCTGGCCCCTGAAAGGCTCTGCAGTTCTTGCAGACACCTGGGGAATGCCGTAGCCCAAACTGTGCACTTCAGGTATGGTTTGATATAAAATCTGTTGTTGCTAAAATGGCAATTAATTTTTTTTTTTAAAAACAAAGCTGGAGTTTTATTTTAGTTTTCTTTATAAATATAAATCATATCCTATGATTTATTTAAGAAATTTTCTACTTTGCCTCTAACTATAGCACATTTGCTTAACATTTGTCAGGAAGGTAGCAAATGTAAACCAAGTCAATGATCCCCAAGCTGCAGTCTAACTAGTGTCCTCTTGATTTTTTGCTAGAATGTATATTCCAAAGTACAAAGCATGCAAATCTTTTGTCATTTAGTGAATATATTCATGCATCTATTCTCAAATTTGCATTTTCCCTGGAGAACTTCAATGCAATCCAGTTGTCTGCTGTGTAGTCTCAACTCTTTATCTCTGTATATAAATTTATTAATAAAATTAGTCTCTCTTTGGGGAGATTGATTTTGGAAGAAATTTCCTAGTGTCTCTATATATTAGAAAGTCAGGCAACTCACAAAAAGCTGATGTTTGTCAGTGATAATAGCAGAAAACTGGGGTTGATACATAGTCTGCAGAGGCGTTTGCAGTGAAACTCTTGAATTTAACTGAACAGTTGAAACTTATCTTTTAAAATATTATCTTTTCCTTGCCAACAGTTTAAATGACTTGTTCAGAAAGTTTAAATGCTGTGTAGCATGTTAGCTGTTATAAATAAAATTAGAATTTTGACAACTAGGTCCCTTGACTTAATAACAGTTTAATTAAAAATGAATACAATTTAGTAAATTGAATAGTAATTTGGTATAAAAGAATACACTTTAGTAAAAGAATAAAATTTAGCAAAAAAATACAATTTATATATATAATTTGCCAGTAATTAAGTATGATTAAAGCATAAGCAAAACCTACCAGGGTACGGAGCGGGTTCTCCACCCTGCCTCACATACAAAACAAAGCGCTTCAAGCTAAACTTATATACTGTATGTTTATACATATTCATTAATGTTTCCTGTAAGTTTCCTCCTATTTCCGATTTTTCTGACTTTATGTCACTGTTTTTCATGGTGCATACCTCACTTGTTGCTAGGGGGTCTTCAGTCTTCTTTTGGTGGTCTTTGGATGAAGGCTTACACTCATCCTTGTCGTCCTCTGGATGGCCTCACAGGTTTGCACGTGCATACTAAGCATTGTGTTATGTAAGTCTACTAATTAGTCTTACATTTAATGAATTTTAAGCCCTATGCCTAAAGTTGTTCTAATTTTGTCTATCTCAAGGCCATTTTTGTCTTGGGACATCGCCTATCTTCCAAACTACATCCTGTACCTCAATTTTAACATGTAACATCTGTAAAGGGGTACATCTGCCTTGTAGCACTGATTCTTTTGATAGCTTCTAATAATAACTTTGCAAATAGTTACAATTTAGTTAGCACAAATCAACTAATTACATTAGCTGTGCTATCATTTCCAGATTTATCTCCAATTACCTTATCTGTGTTATGAAATTTCTTGCATGATAGCCAGATAATGCAACTTTTATTTCCTTTTCCATTTTTTCTTTTTAAAATCAGGATATATCCCTGAGCTTCAGTATACCTTAGAATTGTTGGATCTTAATTTCTGACAGAACTCGTCAATCTTTTCATGGTTACCAACTTCAGTAATGGAGTTTAGTTTCATTTAGGGTATGTTGATTAAGTGTCTCTGAATCTTTGGCATGAAATATTCTGATTTTTTAATCCCTTGCTAGATGAACAGCAACATGCATCCATTTTGCAGTAATTTGTTTGGTTTAGGAGAAGCTCAGAGAAATCATAACTTTGAAAATACTGAAAAGCAGCCTTTTACTCTTCTCTCTCACTGCAATACTGGGATACATTCTTAGGCATTACTAAATACATGTAGGATTGATTTATGATGTGGATTGGGTGGGCTGAAGAAATGGGCTGTACTGTGAATTGTATT